TGAGGGACGATAACGTACAACATCCCTTAAAACCACTTTACGACGGACCATTAAAAGTGATACGGCGAGATCGTAAGCTTATTACCATCTTAATCAAAGACCGACCTGCCCAAGTCAGCATTGATAGAGTAAAAGCAGCTTACTTGTTAAGCGAAGAAACCGAGCCAACCACGCAGTTGCCACGATTTATATCATTTCATTCAAGCCCAGATACACAACCATTACAAACATCTCAACAATAGCTCAACCCTAGTCGCAGTGCCTCCAGCGACAGGGGCATTCGTTTACCTGTCAGATTCACGACATAAAATCAGTTGCATATAACGTGACATCGCTTCCACTCAGCCACTGGTTGGGGAATGATGTGGCGACCAATATGGCAACATTCAAACGATACACAAATAGTACAAAATAACACAGAAATGACACGAACAACACACGAATCACACAAAATACGCATGAAGAAGAAGAGTAGCTGAACACGTAGTCTGGAACACGAAAACGAACGAAAAAGAGTGGCAGTCGGATTTTTGCATATATGTATTTACATTAAAATATATAAATAATAAACGTGTAATAAAAGGCGGCTGTACCGTCTTTTATACCTGCTTCTTTGCTTATTGGGCAAAGGAGCATGATTATTCTGCTCAATAGCTGGATATTTTGTGGAAATTCCCGGATTTTTCGGTTAGTTATAATTTTTGCTAGCCTATCGTCAGCATTTGTCCAGAATCGCTGCAATTAATTTTTATTCTCGAGGATGGAACTTCTTAAATGATAAAATATTGAGTTAAATTTTAAAGAAGTATTAATTTAACATATTATTTTAATAAAATAGTATTTTAAAAAACTAAAGAAATTAGTTAAATATGTATAGTAGGTATAAACGTGAGATTATTTCCTGGTTCTGGTGACACACTGACGATGGAGGTTGTTCCTTTGGAGTTCATGCTGATCTTCAATCTGATTTTGTAGTTTGGACCTGTTTGGAGAAAATGGGGTTAGTGAAATATATATTTTGTTTATTGAATATACAGTGACGAATAAAATTATTGGCACAGCAAGCAAATTGAACTTTAGTACTATTTTTATCCAGTTAATGATGCGAATTTTAATCAATATAAAATTTTTTTAGATGAAATACTTAATTTGCTTTTAAATTCATTTTATTTCATTTTATTTTCTCTTATATTTAATTTTTTAAAATTAAAAAATCAAAAAAAAAAACTAAATTTGGCTGAACAAAATTATTGGCATGCTAACGCAAAAATGAAAAAACAAATTAAAGAAAAATGTTTTCGATAACAATTAATATTTATTGAAGAAATCAATTTTTGTGTGGTTTCTGGCCCAATGTTTTGTCACTCTTCAGCTGTGCCACCTTCAGTTCTGCCTTTGTTGTTATAATGGGCTTCTTTGGACGTCTATCCAATTCTATACTTGCACAACCAAGGCAAATCTTATATGGAGATTGGAGTAACGATGGATAGAAGCCGCTATACCTTTCGGAGCATTGTGCAGCCTTTCAAGGAGGTGATATCGTTGCAAAGTACAAAGGACACAGGCCGACCTAAAGCCATTAGCGTGCTAAAGTTCAATTTGCTTGCTGCGCCAATAATTTTGTTCGTCACTGTATATATAATAGTCTGCAAGTATGTTGACTTAAAACCGCTTTTGCACTTGTTAACAGTTATATATTTTTTTTATATATTATACACTTTGATATAAAACCGCAGCTGTGTCGCTTAATATTTTATATTATTGTTTTATGTTTTTACATATAATCTCACTGAGTGCTCATACAAGTCTCACTGAATTCTTACAAAAATGCGTCGTCTTTTATACACATCCACTTGTACCTATTGTGTAAAGTACAAAAAGCTTTAAGATTATCTTATTTGAACTTTGACACAATTTGACACTTTTGCACAAAAGCATTATTGCTGCAAATTCTTTTCTGACGTTTGTTTACATTTCGTTTTTTACATGTGCGTGTTTTTTTTAAATGAATAATATTTATTTAGATAAATAAAATTATTAGATTAGATTAGGTTCTATACATAAGAAAGAACAAATCATGATTCAAATCAATATTCTGCAGCTGGTTTATGATTTTGTTCTATTATAAACACAGCAATTTAATTTGTTAATAAAACTTTCACAGCAAAAGTAACAAAACTCCAGAAAAATTAGCGAACATAAAAAGTCAAGTACGGCTTTGGGTCAGTTGGTTAAGGTGCGCTGATTCTGAGCTTCACATTTGGCAGGACCCTAGTTCGATTCTTAGTACTTGCAGTCTCAAAAATAATTATTTACGAATAATTAAATACAAGAATTATTTCCAAGACCACTGATGATGGGTATTTGGCAATACTCGAAACAGCTGTATGGTCAGTCAAAAATTCAATTGATTAAAATAATATAAAATGAATTTTTGTTGTTGTAGTTCACTACTGTTCGAAAAAACCTCTTTATTATTTAATTAAAGAAAATAAAATTTTAATAATAATTTAATTAAATTATTTATAAAAACAAAACTCAACTTTTTGCTTACTATTACTCTTACTGACGTGCGTCAAGTGGTAATGTCAAGGTACTTATTACTTTTCCAATTTTATTAAAAGATAATTATATTTAATAAATTCATTTATAGGATCATCCAACTATTGAATTATGCTGTAGATGTGCGTATTAGGGAGTGATTCCAGGTAAGTATTTATTTATTATCTCGATGTTAATTTTCATGTACTTAATTTCTTGCAAGTGATTCACCAACAGCACGTTGGAAATAATACAAAATTTCGATCATTACACATTAATCACGTGATCAATATTTTCCTCTTTTTTCGAAGGTGTAAACATGAGATAATAAAGCTGAAGTAGTTGTCAGTTTTTGAAGTCTAAAATAGAAGGTAGTTTATTAGTCTGTCAAGACAAGTCTTGGTCAGTATGGCAAGTGTTCGAAAGTTTTATTTGGTTGTTATAAGGAGTGCGTCGGTAGAGACTGTAGCTTCTATGGCAATTGAAATGAAAAATATGCGGACACTTAACCGTCTAAAAATAAAGTTTAAAAGGATAACACGCGATTTGTTAATATTTTAATTTATTATAGAAATAATAAATAAAATTTTAACTTTGTGGAAATAAATTGTAAAATTAAAAATAAATATATACCTTAAATGTATGTACATTAAATTGCCATTAATTTTCGAAATTCGAAAAATCTTCCACTGATCGGTTCATTTTACTAAACAAGTAATCTGTGTAAAATTTTCAATTGGATAACTGGAAATGGCGCCTCAATAGCTCCAAAGATTGAAAAATAACTATTTTTTCCATTAAATTTATATTTGATTACTTATATCTAAGACATATTTAATTTTACATAAAAACTGTCTTAAAAGTTATAGATAAAAAATCTATTATAGATTATAGATTAAAAATAAACAATTTACTCATTCAATAGTTATTGAACAAAAGAAAAAATTAGCCGAAATCACCCGATTGAATGTACGTAAACTCTATGAATGCATTTGCCCACATGACTGTATGTTGTTTACTAAATTTGTTACAAAATAAGTTCATATTTTTGGATAGTTGTGTAAATAAATGAGTTTTTGTGTTAATCATTGGAATACGAAGTGAATTTTATAATATTTTATCGTCTTACTTTTTGAACACTCAGCTGCTATAACTCATTACTGTAAAATAATTCAAAATGATTACATTAAAAAGTGTTACCAAGCTGACTTCTTTAAATTTGCGTAAAAATATATACCTAGTTGGTTATCATTCTATTGGGTTGACTGGTAGTAAGTTACCATCAAATAGGGAAGTATTAAAAGTCCTTTTTTACCATGCTTATGGTTAAGTTACGGTTAAGGGAAAATGCTACATTATCATATTTTGGCAAAAGGCACGAATACCAATAAATGAGTAAAACCATTGCATTACAAAGAGTAGTAGACTTATAAAAAACAGTTCAAATTTTGTGAGCTAAATGCAGTTTGTTTGCATTGGAATGAAAAATTGCTGCCAACTTTAGAAGGAAAACAAAATGTGGACCGTCGACATATTATAATCTCATGAGGGTCTGTTGAGTAATTACTTGAAATATCTGGACTGAAAATTAAAACAGCATGGGCAGAGTAATCTGCTATTTGAATGGGGTTTGCAGGATTACGTTCTGATACGACAGATGTGAACACTTGTCCGTTTAACGAAACTTGCTCAATTATTGAAAAACATTTAGAAAGAGATCTTTTATATCTAGCCTGCAGACATCACATTCACGAAATTATTCTCAAAAGTATCCTCCATGCTAAGGTTTGCAAGTCTGTAAGCCCTAATGTTCAATTATTTCAACGATTTTAAAACTTTTGGCCAAAAATAAATGTTGACATTTTGACAGTCGAATTAGAACATAAAAAAGTGAGAAAATTATTGAACACAGATGATATGTTATGAAATACAAGTTTCCTTTATACGATTTGTAAGGACAATCAACCAAGAGATGATTATAAGGAACTTATGGAACTTGTGTTAATATTTTTAGAAGAAAAGCCGAACTGCAGCATAAAGTTTCGATCTCCTGGGATTACACATCACGCAAGATGGATGAGGAAAGCATTGCATGCATTAAAAATATTTTTATTTAGGAAAGAGTTCAAATTATCTACAGCAGAAGAAAATGCTCCTTGCGATATACAGATAGTAGAAAAAGTCTACGGATATTCACAATTTTTCTTAAATTACGCATAACTTTTTTAATTTTTACTCAAATTCATTTTTATTTCCTGATTTATTTTAACCAAAGAAATAACAATAAAGTTCCAATATAAAAAATTAACAGTTATTCTTAAAAAAAAATTAAACACAATTATATGCAAAAGTAGCAATTTTTGAAGCAGAAAAAGTCTACGGATAGTTTTTTAATATTTACATTTACCGGTAATTTAAATTCGCTTGCAAGCATAAACGTTTCATTAAATAATATTTAATTATGAGTCTTCCTAAAAAGTCTAAAAATTAATCATTTAATAATATTTTTTTATATAAGCAATAAATTTTTCCAGACACAGTCCAGCCGAGTAATGTTTTCTGCAGCGTGGGGAGATTCGGACTTTGTTTTATTTGTCCGACTGATAGAAGTTCGAAAAACGTTTCAGCACCAAGAAGAAGATCAATTCTTTGTGACTTGTAGAAATATGGATCAGCAAGCTCAATGTTTACCGGAATCTTCCAACTGGCGGTAGATATATTATGATTTGGTTGGTAGGTGGATATTGTTCGCAATACCCAAAAATCGGCAGAGAATTCATGAGAATTGACTCGCGATCTCACAGTCGCATGTAACTTATGCTTAACTGTGGTATTTATCTTACCAATTCCAATTAAATTAAGGCATCCATCTTCCCTTCTTAACTGCAATAGTTGTGCAAGCTCCTCGGTTATAAAATTTGTTTGAGAACCGGAATCAAGTAAGGCTCTGGCTGTTCGGTACTCTCCAGACTTACTCTTTACAGTAACTAGTGCTGTCGCCAAAATTACCTGGTCGCAATTAGTAGCACTATGATTTACATAAACGCGATCGGAATCAGAACTTACAGTTGCGTGAGGGATAATTGGAGTGTATTTGTGCAGTAGTGTGTGATGTTGTCCCGCACACACTCTGCAACGTGATGATTTACATGCTGAAACAGAATGCCCTTTTTTTAAACAGTTTATGCACGCTGGAATTGCCTTGACTGTGTCGAACCGTTGTGACACAGGCAATTCAGCAAATGCTGTACACTTCGTTATCATATGGATATTAGACATACAATATACGCATTTGGGGTCATTGGATTGATTCAGCTTGTTGCAGACAAAGGAGGATTTAAAGCTGCGTTTGTCCTGTTTAACACCGGGTTTTTGGTCACACTCTGGCACTGATTTTTTATGCTTTGTAGAAGAGGTCTCGTCCGCTGATAGATGTTGGAACCTTTTATTAAGCGCTGCTTCACAGTCACTCCATAATGGCAAAGTGTTGTAGTCCAGCTGTTCTTCCCATTTCGATTTTGTGACTGAATCCACCTTTTGCATGACTAAATGAATAAGAATTGCATTGGTGATATTCTTATCATCTCCTATTGAAAGAAGGGAATCATAGATGGCAGACACAGTGTCGATTGTAGTGCGCAAAGATGCAGCAGACGGTTTGTAAATTGCTGGGAGATCGAAAAGCTTGCTAATGTTGTCGGAAAAAATGAGACAATTGTTGTCGTACACCTTCCTAAGACTGGCTAACGCTTTTGGGTAATTCCTCTCAGTGACTTGAAAGGCTTTCACAGTACCAAGAGCTTCATCTGACAAACATGACAGTAAATGGTTGAATTTTTCAATGTCCGTAAGAGTTTCATCACTATGAACAAGGCTTTCAAACAAACTAATGAAATTTTTATAATCACAGTATTTGCCGCTGAACTTTGGTAGTCGCATGCTTGGCAACTTCGATTGCGGTCGACCACAGTGGTGCGAGATTGCAGGGGCGCTAACAAGGCGATGTTTTTTCAACTTTTGTAAAAACAAGGACTTAGTTGAAACACAAACATCTTCTAAAACAGCCCAATAGTCATCAGTAGGATCCAGGTCAAATATTTTGCTCTGGTATTGCATCGCTTTGTCAATGTAAGAGTCAAGTATTTCCAATCTACACTCTAGTTCACTAGGGCTTTTTGAAACAATGCTTTCTAGTAAATTTGCCTTTAACCTTAAAATATCAGCAACTACTGCTTCTCGATTATGGATCAAGGTATCTACCGCCTTTGGAGATTGCAAAGACTGTGATCGCTTTTTAGTAGGCATTTTAGAAAATAAATGATCGCAAGTGACAACAAAGGAGAAGAGAATTTTGGACTAAGTAAATCGACGTGCTTCACGTTTAGCTGTATTGTATATTTTATTCGTTGTTAATAGAATGCAGTATAATGTAAATGATATATTTTTTATTTATTGTTAATATATAATTCAATATAATGTCAATAATATATATTATATTTTTTTT